ATATCTTTAAGCCCATCGCTAGTAGGACTTGATCTACGCCTTGTTTTACACAGCTCATTCTACTCAACAAATCCTCGCCACGCTGTAGAACCAATGGTATACGATATTCGGGAATATCTTTGACTGAATTATCCGATTCTTCGAGTTCTTCCTCAGCGTCGAAAACCGGCTTTGTTAACAATCGTCGAAACTGCACCGCTAAAGGTTCGTTGGACTGGGGTATTGCAGGACATTCGAGTAATGCGGCCGCTCGACACATGAATTCTTCGATGGAATTAACCATGAACGGCGGTGTGACATCGTCTGCAAGCACTATCCGTTTCAATTGTGATGTGATTTCGTCGGCGTCGTCTCTTTTTTCGGTGTTCTGGATGCGAAGTCGGATCCAAGCATCAGTATAATCCGGAATGAAGTTGGCGTGAATCATGGTCCCCCACTCGTCGATAGTCGCGTAGTAAACAGGTTTTTCGACGTTGAGACGAGATCTACTGGCATCTCCTAAGACCAAAGATATTTGAATAGTAGCAAGAGTAGTGCGAGTATGGAGACACTGAAATTGTTGCATTTCTTTTGTCTTCCTCTGAAATGAAATGAACTGTTGGTTGATTTCGAAGACCCGAGCTGGGACGAGGGATATAGGTGGTCAAGGTAGTGAACTTGAAGAGAGGAGAAACGCGGGTGTTTTTTATACCGGTGCTTTGACACTGTTGCCACATCGATGATAAGACAATGGGACGAGCTCGCCGTACGATAAGGCAGCAGGTTGGACAACCTAGATTAAGTACTTGCCTTAGTCCCACAATTGTTGATTGAAACAATAAGAGCGCTATTGGGAATAACGAGGGGTGTTACAATAAGTAGTGTGAGTAAGTGTCCATCCATTCGACCTACCAAATACATATGTAAAGATCCTCCAGATTCCCATCCTCGACTTTTGACCTGTGTTGATCGACCTTTTTCGATCATTGACGAAATACTAGGCCGTCCTTCCTTGACGGTTGACCATCACTTGAGAGACTGTCTAGCAGATCCAAGCTATCCTGAGATTGTTTGCCCTGTAAAATAATTGGCTTGCAATCGGAGAACCGGCGTTGGCGTAAGGCTATGTATGCTTCGGCAAGGCTCTACAATCGATCTGCAGTTGAGTAAGATGTAGACGATTATTCATCGCAGGCTGGCTTAGATTGGTGTCAGATGGAGGAGTCCACGGATTTTTGTTTCTTCCAGTGAATGTACTACTAGAGAGGGAACGTATTATACATAGAGATATTTACTTGTTCCTCGGAATTGAGCTTTTCAAGTTGGTTCCTAGATATACTAAATGTTTGTTCAATATTCTTGATATTTTAGAACCGCAGTTAGCGCCACTGAGGCTTTAGTAGATATCATTCTTGAAATACTCTCTCAAAAGGCGGATCATCGAATGCAATATGAGTTCGGGAGTGAAGACAGCGTGTGTGTGATTTTTAGTAGTAGGCCCAGCATTTTACTATTTGAGGGTCAGTGATTGGGAATTAAAGATAATGTACTTGGAAGCTTCTCACTGATGTTATACTTAGCCCATCAGACTAAGCTTGAATTTCGGAGGGAGGAATGTCCGAATGCTAGAAAGGACAGGGTTTATTTGACAATCTAGGCAAGGCCATCGTGCTGGATTTCCGGTAAGAATGCACGATCTGAGTACCCGGAAAGGACACAGTCAGCCATTTTTCCGCGGACTGGACGGCCGAATTGACCGACCACTCAGGAAAGGCGACACAGAATTGGCAACACCGACGAATCAAATCATACATACATGCCAAGGGTTAGAGAGACGCTTTATTCAGTCATGATGAGTTTTTTTTTTTCGGTATCGAGCTAAAGACAGAACAACAAAGTTTTCACGTTCTTTAGCGAAAGTTATCAACGGGAAGTTATTGTCAGCGAATTCCTCTTGAAACCTCTGTGGAAGTTTCGATCTTAATGCTGCGACTTTCCAGCAATCACCGAATGACAATCTGACCAGTGTAACCAATGAGAGATGATCATTGGGAGGCTCGGGTACTGGAAGGCCAAGGACCAATTATCGTCTGCCAAGAAACACACCCAACAAGGCATCTGGTTCTGGACGCTAGCTATAGCGGCATGTAGCACCTGATGTGAAATGGTCAATACGGAGAATAAAGAATCGGAGTGCAAAAAAGACTGTATGTCAGACAACTTGGAGAATGGGAGACTATTCACCTCTTCTGACCATACCAGCCGAATATCAAGCGGACAAGTTGCGCTTTGAAAATAGGACAAGTCGTTAATCAAGGAGTGTCGAAAAGCATCTGCCGAGAATCAGAATAAATCAGAACGATTGATGTCCTCCGACCATGATTTTCTGTTTGAATAATTCTTTGAAAATAGAATTGGGAGAACGATTGACAAGTTCAGATTGAACTTGGGAAGGTAGTGTTTTCGCCAAAGAATGAAAAGGGAAAAAGTAGTTAGGACGTTCTGATTTGAGTTGGCCCATATCGCTCAATATCTTCCGGTGTTTTCGTGGGTCATTACAGGGCTACATGCCGACTTTATACCCCCTACAGGGTTGCAAGAGCGATAATAGTCAGGTTTTTGGAGGATCAGGATTTCGTATTGGCCAGGCATGCCACCTAAGCGAGCCTGCTTGCTTGAGGGGGGTCTTGTGAGTAGTTGTTCGCGCTTCAAGTAGCCCTGTAGGCTGTACATGTAGCGACCGGGACTTGCATGAAGTTTGGGTTCCTGCGGCTGAATGAAACATTTGAGAGTATGGAGGCATATGCAAGTGAGCCTCAATGCTTGCTTGCTATGAAAAACCATAAAGTATAAGAACAAATTTTTTGAAGTCAGCGCAACGGTTTCTGAAGTTGATTTTCTATGATGGTTGTTGAGTGTTATTGAGGTCGTTTAGGTCAATGGCTTGGATCGAGAGAAAGTCGGTAACTGCCGACGGACGTTTTACGTCGCTCGGTCTTTGATCGCACTTTGATGAGATTTTCCCGGCCCGGGGAAGTAACGATAGAAAATATAACGCCGAGGTTGTTTCTTGAGCGATAACAAATCCCTCCCCCACTGCAATTCTGAATTAGAACGTTGGCTGTTTCGCTTTTCTCTTCCTTTCTCTTTTTCCCCGCAAAATCCCTGCCGTAACGAAGGATAACGCCTGGTAGTGAGTGCTTGCTACACACCAAAGAATTGATTTGAAGGTTGCCTTTTGGCTATCTTCAATTGATCCTTTGTACTATTTTATTTCTTCATTGCTAAGTAACGCGGTCCCTTCTTTTCATGTTTCTTGTCTTTAGATCCTCGCGACCCTTCCCGGCTTCAAAAATTTCCGATCTGACCTCGACTGGCTTACCTTCCTGCAATACACACACACGCTTGAGCTCAGCTCGCGATAATCCGATAAACCTCTGAATCACCCGACCTAACATTCTACAAATTTCAAAAATGACTCTTGGAATATCTATTCCTTCTCCCACGACCAGAGGATCTCCTTCCTCAGACGAATCATCTCAACTTCACACTCCAGTGTCCCCATCGTTCCCGGGATCATCTCAGCGTTCTTCGTCGAACTCAAATACCACTGAATCCACCTTAGGGACTATAAATGGTAACAAGCGCAAGTCTACTCGTCGCGTAAATACTGCAGAGCGTCGTGCTACTCACAATGCAGTCGAACGCGCGCGCAGAGAAAATTTGAACGGTAGATTCCTTGTACGTCATTGTCTTCCGGATAATTTGTAAAGAAACTTTTTATTCTAATGTTCGCGCTCCATAGGATCTTGCTGCTCTATTGCCGAACCTCTCCCAGATTCGCCGCCCGTCAAAGTCAGCTATTGTAAATTCCTCAATCGCTCATATACATGCCTCACGGCGCCATCGTATGCTCGCCTCACGAGAGCTCCGAATTCTCAAGCTCGAGTCTGACGCTCTCCGACGAGAGCTGAACGAATGGCGCGACCGAGCTGGAATTCCTCGGGTTCATGAACCTCCGAGAGGTGATGCGTTCAGTATGATACTTAGTGGCGAAATGGAAGTCTTGCCTATCCCAAATGCTGATGAGGAAGAAGGTGAATATGTTTATGGAGACGAGGAAGGCGCAGGTGTCGTGTATGCCACTGGATCTCCAGACGATTTTGGTGCTATGAACGCTCCCCCTCCCCGGAGCTCGAATGCCCGTCCAGATATCTCTCGACGCTCTCCCTCAAATGGCTATGATGTTCCGATGGAACAACAGATGCTGCGGCATACTGGAGGACCAATAGTTGCTTCACCTGGAGGCATGGTTGTCGAAAACCCTACTATGGGGATGATGTACAATATTAGCATGGGTAATGGTCCCTATACGGTCGCTTTTGCACCGGATATGGAACAGAACAAGTGGGGACCTGATACCAATGTTAACGAGCAAGGTCTTATGGCCTCGGTCTCTCGCCGCAGTTCTCTTGCAACCTCCGATGTACGAGGGAATCGTGACAGGGCGATGAGCACAAGCACTACTAGCTCGAGCGGTAGTGGAAGCCCAGCCCATACATATTATGATCCTGGGTGGAACGCTACCTTGGGAGGTATGGCTCCTAATATGGGTGCTAATATGGGTATGATGAGCGGAAGTGCCAATGGAAATATGGCGAATAGAGGAGCTACATTTGCGCCGGTAATGTAGTTCCTCCTTAGCTTTCACATGATCTTTCCCGTCCGTTTGTTATTCCTTTAACCCTTAATACCTCACGAAAAGCTCTGCTGTGTACATATACATGTTCGTTATGCCGCTTGCTATGCTCTGTCGCTTTGCACGTTCACTTTTATACCCCTTCTGTCATATCACTGACTGTTGCATTACTTATCGCCCGAGCATTTACTATGTACATTCCTGTACTCAACCCCGTACCTACTACTGACGAACTGCATGCCACCTTGCCGATCTTAGAAGAACATTTTCTTGCCGAAACCGGGACACAGATTATGTAAGACCTTTGACGCACATCATACATGGCTACATGGCGCAATGGTAGCGCGTTTGGCTTCGATTGCTGAAACTACTCTACCAAAAGGTTGCAGGTTTGAGTCCTGCGGTGGTCAGTACTGGTGAATTCGGATGTAATTCTCCCTGGTTCGCTTTTTTGTTTTTTTTACCAACACAAAGAGTCACAAGTTTTCTTACCCTGTCTGCCATTCTTGACAACTCATCTCAAGGATTTGTCGTTCATAACGGTCGGAATACGTTCATCTTTAAATCTTATGCAGACATCCCTGCATCTTAGTTTCGCTCCAGGTTTGCGTTATCATCTCTGATGCAGGCGCAGATTGGAGTGACATTTACCAAGGCAGGGCTCATCGCTGATAAGGCAGAAACAACTAAAACTTCCTCACCACCTGGCCTGGGAGCTCATTCAAGATCAAAAAGAGGTGATGAGCTGAAATTTGAGCTCAGAGAGAAGAAGCTTGGACTGCTCCAGCGATTTGTTTTCGACATTGGTAGTTGGAATTTTTCTGTGTCAGTTCAGTCTCAAGCTCTTATTTCCTAAACTTGTCCGCGTCATTTTCGCGTTACATACATTCATATGTATTCGTATACAAGCAAGACACTAAATCTTATATATTGAGATCATTTATGCAGAAGAATTCGAGTTATAGCCAAGGAGCTGAAAGCATTCATTAATGCAACATTAGAGAAATACTATAACGCTTCTCGAGGAACTTTGACAGAAGCTCGGTGACACACACCTAAGAGGACAACTAACTCATCCTTCTTCGCCGGCGATAATTTCTGGAAAACCTGACTGCATACCTTTTCGAAGGTTTCTACATGAACCACTGTACCAACCAAAATCTTCATAGGATTTCGAACAATCTTGCATCATCGCATATTCCGAACGTGCTTGCTTGACTTAGTAAGCTCCATGGCATCTTTTCACCGAAATGCCCAACCTATCTGTGGAGACATCGTTAATGGCACTCAAAAGGACATTGCGAAAGACATATTCAGCGCTTTGAGTTCTGATCCTATGCGTGGTTCTGTTATTCCTTCGTTTCTGGCGGTAGTGCGAGCTTTCCTAGCGATGCGGTTGCAGGGTGAGAGAAGTAGAAAGGGGGAGAGGCGATGAGCTGCGCTACTTTTCTGCCCATTGAATGCCCAACCAGGACGTATCCACCAAAAGAGATAGGAAGATGCTGGTTCAAAAGGGTTGTAATACCGGATGCCAGGCCGCGGATAGAATATTCCTTAATCAAAGATGGACTTTATAGTTACCTCAACCCTGACGAACTACTCGACGAGAGACTAAAATGTCCTGGAAGATCCACCCTGAAAATGAACAAGAATGATAGTCGGCTGTATCCGGGATAGTTTCCCAAAATGCTGAGTGGATATGGTAACGTCGCCCGCCAATGAATAAGCTTTTCCTTTCAGCTTGAGTGGACATACAGAAAATGCGAAATCATGAAGACACCTCCTGACTAGTGGAGATGCTTTTATACGAAGACATCAACATCAAGCATTTAGGAAGGGAAAACGAAAGAAGGAAGTAGCCTTTAAAAGGGTTGAATGGTAGATTTGCAACCCGTTGCTGTAGTTGCCAGACTTCATTTAGAAACACTGTTCCGAGCTAGTTCTAGAACAAGGTTTAGTCAATGGTATCAGCATACCAGGAATGATTAGCACCTTTCCTGTCAGTGACGAAGAAAGACCTATATAGAGGGGGCAATGCAGGCGAAAGCGTTAAGAGCTTGACTTTTGGCCTCGATCGTGCCTTTTATTTGAACAACCATGTCCACCTTCATCTTGGGCGCACCTCCGCTAGAATGATATTTGATTCAGGAATACAGTGTTGCATCTCATCAATGGACGGCAGCACAACATCAAATAAGAGCTGTGACATGCCGCTTTGATGTTGAGTTTTCAGCTTGTGATAAAGGTAGGTAAGAAGTGTCGTTTTGACCTCGTCCGTGCAGCAATTCGTTCGTATTTCGCCAGGTTAAGCCCTGGTTGGACCTTCCTGAGCATCCTGTTGTTTTGAAATTCGTTTTGACAAAGATGAATATGTTTGAAAACATGAAGGTACTGGGTAAAAAGGGAATTGTTCAAGCAGCTCTTGGAAAGAATGGTTGTTTTTGATGCGGACGTGAGTGTCGTCCAAGACCGCCAGCGTAACGTCAATTATAATAGCGGCAGGGTCGGTTATGATGAGGGCTGAAGAAGGACGGAATACTTAATCAGCCTGGATCGAGCCAGACGCCAATCTACGCCATTCCAGATGGTCAAAAACAGTGAGCATAAACCACGGACCCTGGCTATTATCGACATCGTACGACGGTCATATACAAAGGTAGCTCAGACGGCTACAGAAATCTTAGCTTTGAGGGATTGTCAGCGATTTTCTAGGTCTCGACGCAAGTCCAGAGCAACATTGTCAATAGAACACCGCGGAAAAAAAAGCACTGACATCGTTCAGGTATTTACAATTACCGGTAAAATTTGCTGGTCGCAAAGATAACTTGATACGTACATACCTGCTAAAATTATCATCGTTCGTGGTTCATTTTCCTTCTGTCTCCCTTGAAAAATATTATCGAGATGAACAAAGTTACTTCATTATGAATTTGAACTTCGGTTGATAACTGAAGTTTCGAGGCTTAGCGAACTGGTTATTTAGAGTTGAATTGTGGCCGGGTAGAGCGGAGTTGGGGGAGCGCATAAATATTCACGCAGCAGGGCGTCTAAAAGATCTATTTTGAAATCCAGAACTGTCAACTGAGGCACATGTGTTGAACAACGACAACATTTCTCTTTTACCACCATCTTGTCCGTTTTTTTCCTCTCTCGTCCACCAACTCTAGCTTCATTCTTTACAGCGCTCTTATAACCCTTTAGGACTCGGGTCTTCCTTCTAACTCTCAATAATACTGCATAATATGCTTCCTTTATCAACACTGGTCGTCACGGCCGCTTGGCTGGCAACCTCACTTTCTCCCGCTCAAGCAGTCACAGCAGGCTCTTTTGCAGATGGAGGAAATACCACTGTTAGCGCAATGATGGTGAGCAACCTTATTTAAAGTCATCTTTTCCACCTCGTTAACTTTTTTTCCCTAGTTGTTCGTCGGAAATTCACAAAAAGTTTACGTTTTAGACAAGGCAGAAGGTAACGCTGCGCAAATTAATGGTCATCCAGCATGGGGCGCCGTTTGGTGAGTGCTCCGCTCAGCTCGATTCGCAGACGCTCATTGAAAATGACAGGGATATGGACACACATACATCGTTTGCTATGGATGTTAAGACCAATGTCTTTTGTGCATCTGGAATGCATTTACCGAATGGCTCGTATGCGACGTTCGGTGGCAATGGTGCTATCACCGTTGGTGGAAATATTGGATCAGTCACTACAGATGGAGGATCTGCCGCCTCGTACGACGCCACTTATCAGGATTATGACGGCCGAAAGGCTATCCGTATTCTCAATCCCTGCACTGACGAAGATGATTTCACTTCCGAGAACTGCCAATGGTTTGATAACCCTGATGTCTTGTCTATGCAGAAGGAACGATGGTACTCTGCTGCCGAACCTTTGGGTGATGGTACGATCGTACTCATTGGAGGATTTGTCAACGGAGGCTATATTAACAGGAATTACCCCAACACCGATCCTACTTACGAGGGAGGCGCGGCTGAACCTACATACGAGTTTTACCCCGCCAATGGTACCCAGGCCACTATCATGCAATTTATGGTCAAGACTTCCGGCTTGAATTCGTACGCTCACAGCTATTTGATGGCTTCAGGTAAAATGCTCGTTCAGGCCAACTATTCAACCAGTTAGTCCTTTTTTCGCATGGCAATTGCTACTTTCCGGTTGTTCTGATTGTTATTCACAGTGCTGTGGGATCCCGAAACCAACACGGAGACTGACCTACCGGACATGCCCGGCCAAGTAGTCCGTGTTTACCCTGCGTCTGGCGGTGTTGCCATGCTTCCTTTGACTCCGGCCAACAACTACACGCCTACTGTCATTTTCTGTGGCGGTACCAACATGACCGACGAAATGTGGGGCAACTACTCGTGGCCTGTCATCGACACCTTCTACTACCCTGCATCCAAGGATTGCCAACGCCTCACACCCGAGCCTGCAGATGGTTCTACTCCTGCCTACGAACAGGACGATGACATGCTCGAAGGTCGCACCATGGGTCAATTCATCATCCTGCCCACTGGAGAATTGCTGATGGTTAACGGGGGAGAGAACGGTACTGCGGGTTACTCTGAAAATACCGACACTACCCTTGAATACGGCCAAATGCCATACGGAATGTCCCTGGCTGCGGCTCCTGTTGGAAAGCCTGCTCTTTACAATCCTACTGCCGCTGCTGGTAGTCGTTGGTCAAACGATGGCTTGGATTCTTCCAATATCCCTCGTCTTTATCACTCTTCCGCTATCCTTCTCCCGGATGCTTCTGTTATGATTGCTGGCTCTAACCCTAATGTTGATGTGAACCTTACTACATTCTTCCCTACGACCTACAAAGCCGAAATCTTCTATCCCCCCTACTTCTCATCTAGCACTCGTCCTGTCCCTACTGGCATCCCTAGCACTCTTTCTTACGGTGGTGCTTACTTCGACATATCTCTCCCTGCATCCTCCTACTCTGGTTCTGCAAACGATGCCGCCGCCAATACCACCATTGTTGTTGTTCGTCCTGGATGGACAACACACGGCATGAACATGGGTCAGCGTTTCCTTCAACTCAACACCACCTACACTGTCAACAGCAACGGCACCATCGTTATGCACACCTCGCAGATGCCCCCGAATGCAAATATCTTCCAACCCGGACCCGCCCTGGTATTCGCTGTCGTAAATGGCATCCCGTCCAATGGTACCTTTGTAATCATTGGTACTGGAAATATCGAGACACAGCCTATCTCTGTCGCTGCTTCGCTTCCCACTAGCCAGCTTGCATCCACGGACACAACCGGTACCGGGTCCGGATCTAACTCTTCTTCCACAGACAACAGCGCCAGCTCTTCGCACACAGGAGCGATATTAGGAGGAGTCGTTGGTGCTCTAGTAATAGTTGGAATACTTGGT